GNGNAGAGAGGAAATATAATTTAAAATTTTTAAAAATATGAATGATGAAACAAAAGAAATTTTATAAATTGAAAAAAAAAATTAGAAAGAATATGGAAAGCTCAATGTCAAAGTTTTTATGCACAAACATACCAAAAAAAGATGTACAACATATTTATTTTGTATAAATAGTTATAGAATATTTCAAAGAAAATAAAAATCTTCTACCTATACTTTTGAATGTTAAAAAGAGAAATTATATAAAATGAAAATTTATAAATGTTATAAAATAATAATAATATATTTATTGTTTAGAATCAAAATGTGTAAGATTTGACGAATGACTAGTATTGATCTCTTTGAAAATAAATCGATGACATTTATCAATCATAAATTTATATATAATGCTTAATTGATAAAAATATTTATAACATATTTTATAGGTTTTTACGAGATTATATCACTTAATAATATTTTAATTTTTAGAAGATTTTATCATATAATAGGGAATTTTTAGAAGATTTATGAAATTTATTGTATTAACACGGGTCCTAATCTAGTAGGGAATAAAGTACAAAACTTTTTGAATCTATGGAGTAAATTTCAACGAAAAACAGAGCACCAAAATGAAGTAATGTAAGTTACTTAAATACTACGGAACCAAAACATTTGTTTTTTATCTGCCGTTGAATCTCTGGAATCATACTCAGTCATGATTATATGATCATCATTTGTACTTTGATAAACGACGTAACCAGTTAAGTACATGTCGATCAAGTGTATGTACACAGCAATGCAGAGAGTAAGATAACTAATAGGTGGAGAAGAAACAGAGCCATGATATATATAACGATTCGAGAGTACATATCCTTTGTCTGAAATATTTAGAAAGCAGTAAATGTTTAAATTACAATGGTTCATTGGGTACAAAGACAAACTAATTTGATATAGCAGAGAACAAACTCTGGTAATAATAAGAAACAGGACCTACGGGGTCGGTAGGTTCGAAGAGTAAATCATAAGATTTTGTATGGAGATCATGTATCACAACTGGATCAATGCACTCACGACCTTCAAGCAATAACTTATTCTTATCAAGAATTGGTATAGGCGACAGCGCATAGTCGGGATCCCCATACCAAGAAATAGTTTTAGTGAGATCTATGGAACTGATTGGCTTCCACGTCTTGTTGCCGCCGGAAGAATCCAGCGACCAGATGACTTGGGTGGGCCAGTTTTTCTCGGAAACGCACAAGCGGTTATCGAGAACGCACATGTTGACGTTGCGAGGGTCACTTAGATGGGCAAAGGGAGCTATGACTTGAAATGTTTCGGTGTGAAGATCAAAAGACAATACCTTGGTTTCTTCACACTCAGTCAACCAATGAAGCGACCCATCTAAATACACGGGATCATGGAAAGGAAGAATCCGATAAGGAGAAGCAGGGAGAACGTACCTCCAAGCGTTGGTGGCAAAATCAAAAACTTCACAAGTGGTAACATTGTCTAGGCCATATCCGGATGAATTATATAACCAAACCGGCTTGTATGTGCCCCTGATTTTGTCTAGTGGCGGGATTGATCACGACGTTCGGTGTGTCTAAGTAGACATTGTAGAGGCATAGAAGACCGTCACAACTGCCATGGCAAACGGAGTCGATTTCCAGCTGGTGGATAAAGACCTGAATCTCAGCACAGATTTCACGGGAAGTCTCTCTAGTATGAGCTCCACAGCATCGTCTGGTAGCGATTCCAACACACTAGAGCGATGTCTTTTCAACAACATTGTATCGTCTGGTAGCGATGTCTTTTCAACAACATTGTATCGTCTCTAATTGAATTGATCAAGAGAGAAAGATCCAGGCTCTATAAATATATATACACACACCAGCATCCGGCTCCAGCTAAAAAGAGGAAATTTTCCAGTCATTTATTTCCATTAAGTAAAAGGAAATTCTAACAATTCCTTTCTTCATCGAATTTATGAATATCTAAATCGATAAACCAAACGAAATATTACAGATTTCAATCAAAAGAAGATAATAATAATCAAAGTGAGGACTTTCTTTATCAATCCTCAGCGAACGATCTCTCTCTCCTCTGTCTCTCATCGAAGGAAAAAAGATAACAGGGATCTTTATTCTTTGTGAGTGTTGAAGTCCATGCGGTTCTGACAGGCGGAGGAGGGAGACAGAGATCACATCGGAAACCACTAATCTGTAACGGTGAATTGTTTAGGGTGTCAACAAAATTTTTTGATTAAAAAATTATTTAATCTGCTCAACTTTGGATGAAACGTGTCTATGGGATGAAGCTGTTGAAACGGGGTCTTCGGGACACGTATCGCTCTTGTATTGGACCGAAGTAAAAATAAAAAATCAGAAAAAGGGAAGCGAGATGATCGACCATTTTCGTCTCTCTCTATTCTCCTCCTCCGAAGGCGACGGCGATGGCGATAAGAAAAACGATGTCGCCGTTGTCGTCGGAGCTTCTCCGTTCCGATGGCTCTTCCGTCGTT